AAGAGAAGTACAAGGAACAGTGAAACTCGCGAACTCACTGAAGTAAGCGTTAAAGTTTCGTGAAAGAGAAGTACAAGAAACAGTGAAACTCGCGAACTTGTTGAAGTAAGCGTTAAAGTTTCAAGGCAAAGACTTTGAGAACCTAAAAACGAAGGTCAAGGACCAAGGGAAGTTCTCTTGCAGTGTATTTGCAAGTTAAAGAACGATGTTAGTAAAGTGTGATAATAAGGGCAATAAGATGAAGCGACAAAAAATGATCTTACCTAGAAAACGGCAAAATGATGGTGTAACGTGTTTGAAGTCTGATGATCTTGTAAAACCATTTTATGATCATGGTATTGTTGAACTGGTGGATTTTCTTTGGGATTTCGAGAGGTATGGTGAATTGAAAAGGTGAAACGATAATGTGAAGTGAAATAGGGTTGTGTTGTATGTATCGAAGAACCAAAGGCCGTGGATGCGCAAGATGATCAAAGCATGTAATACGTGGTACAGTTTGAAGAAGGCAATAATAAAAGAGGTGTGGAATATAAGGCAAAGAGATGATAAATCAATACTAGCGTATACTTACCGTTATAAATCACTTGTGGTTCTGGTAAAAGCGATGATCAAGAACTATGAGAAAATGTATTGATATACTTTCGGGTTATGTGAATCGTACCGATGGCAGGTTGAATCAATGTGTCCAATAACATATGACGAAGCAAAAGAATAGGCATTGAAATTGGAAGCAGAAATCAATGATGGTGGAATGCAAGGAATAGAAATAGGCAATACATTAGTTAAAGCTGATGCTGAAGTCAAAAAAATTAGAGTTGAAAAGGAGAACTTACCTGAAGTTGAAAAGGACAGTAAGGCATTCACTTGGTATCAATGATCAACTGAGATAGGAAATGTTGCTGTAATGAATGACCCTGATCAATGCTGTCGAAATAAAATGGGTGTCGAAGATAATGTAACCTGTGATATAATAAATGCATATTTTAGTAACAGCGAAAATTGGGAATGCGAAATTAACAAAAAATGTTGTAGCAAACCTGATGATGTTGAGAACAGGGATGATACGACCATCAAAGTGGATAATCATTGGCTGGATAATTTGAAAATCAAGTTGATTTCCTGTTGTTGACTATGGATGATGAAAATTATGAAAGTAATACCAAAAAGGATAATCGAAAAGCATTTATTCATCATCAAACATCCACAAAGATAAAACACGTCAGCCATACATGCAGTCTTGGAAGTTGCAACCAGGATGGAATCGGTTTTGAAAAGGATGAACATTTGGCATTCATTAGTCATCAAGAGTTAGCAGAGATGGGTTTTACTGATGAAGCAGCAGACCGGATATATTGTTATCGAAATGGAATCGTTGATGAAAATGTTGAACATAAGGCATCCATTAATTATCAAAGATCAGCCGAGATAGATGAAACCTACGAACCTGGTAATTGTTGCCATCATGGCATTGGAATCGAAATTGATGGACACGAGGTATTTAATGA